GACAGTTGTTAACTGCCATGTGGGTGCTGGGATTCAAACCCGGGTCTTCTGCAAGAACAACCAGTGTTCTTAACCACTGAGCTATCTCTCCAGCTCCCTCTCCTGCCATCTTAATCTGACCATAACCACAATATATATTTTCAGGGGTAATAAAGATATTTTAATATAGGGAGTTGGAGGAATGGCTCAGCAGTTAAGAGCTCATGCTGTTCTTATTATAGAGGATCCAGGTTCAGTTCCTTGCACCCACACAGTGGCTCACAGCCATCTGTAACTCCAGTTCCAGGGCATCTAACACTCTCTTTTGCTCTCCACAAGCACTCTATGCATGTAGTGCACATACATACATACAGATAAGCACTCATACACATAAAAATAAATAAATCTTCTAAAAAAAGAAGTTGGAAATTTCCATATAAAAGGATATAAAAAGATATTTTAATATAGGCTTAAGAGGAGAGAGGCATTCAGAAGAAAGTAAGACATACCCAAGAATGTGAATGTGGGCTTCTCGGAGAGAGAGAGTGCAGAAAGGACATGCCCAAGTGTGGGTACTGGTTCCTCAAGGGAGAGTCACCAGAGTGTTTTTGAAAAAGTCTTCCTCAGGGGCCTGAGAGATGGCTTAGTAGGTAAGAGCTCTTGTGGCTCTTTCAGCGGACCCAGGTTTGGTTCTCAGCATCCATAAGGTGACTAACAGCCATTTGTAACTCCACTTCTAGGGGATCCAACACCCTTTTTTGGCTTCTACAAGTACCTGCATGTATGTGGTACACATAAACTCATGCAGGTACACACACATACATATAATAAATAAGTAAATCTTTTAAAAAATTCTTCCCTAGATGACTTTTGCAAACAGCTATGTCTGGAAATAGCTGTATTAGGCAGAATTGGGTCAATGGCGAGAACCCTTGGACTCTCCTTTGGTTATCACTTTATAGGTCAGGAAAAATAGCTCCTAGCGTTTTTCTATTATATGTTGGGGAGAAATATGTTTTACTGAGCACAGATGTGTTTCCCTTTGGCTAGCATATTGTCTTTGGGACTGAAGTAGATGATCTCAACATACCTCTCCTTTTTCCATCCCCTAGATGTGTGACAGTGTGGAAGAGGGGGTGGACAGTGACACAGTGAACATGTTCGTGGTACATCCAACTACTCCTGCACAGTATTTCCGCTTGCTTAGAAGACAGATGGTCCGCAACTTCAGAAAACCTCTCATTGTTGCTGCTCCCAAGATGTTACTCAGGTACCCTGTAAGTAGAAAAGGCTTGCTTGTAGGTCTCTGTCTGTCTCTATCTCTCTTTCTCTCTCTCCTCTCTCTGTCTCGCTCTGTCTCTGTCTGTCTCTGTCTCTGTGTCTCTCTGTCTCTCTCTCTCATCTTTTTGAAACAGGGCCTCCCTGCAGTCAAAATTGGCCTGGAGCTTCCTATGTAGACCAAGCTGGCCTCCATCTCACAGAGATCTGTCTGCCTCTGCCTCCTTCATGCACCACCACACCTGGCTTCATGTTTTGTATCTAACTGTTTCTTCTTTTTTAAAGTTATTATTTTTATTTTATGTATATGAGTGTATTGCCTGCATGTATGTAAGTGAGCCTGAGGGATCTGAGCAGATACAACATTAATTTTTTATGACATTTATTTATTTATTTGTGTGTGTATGAGATAGAGAGAGAGAGAAAGGCAGTTTGTGTGTGGGGGGTGCATAGTGTATGTATGGAGGTCAGAGGACAACTTGCAGGAATTGATTCTCACTTTCCATCATATGGGTCCTGGGGATTAAACTCAGTTCATCTGTTGGGCTTGTCAGCAAGTGCCTTTACCCACTGAGCCATCTTGCCAACCCAGATATAACTTCACAAAAAGTTTTGAAGTCCAAATAGTTTCAACAGCTCTACACCAGTAATAGTGCTGGGGATTGAACTTAGGGCCTCTTGTGAATGCTACATCACTTTACCCACTGAGCTACATTTCCAGCCCTAATCTTTCTCTTTAATGATTTATCAAGGATGTATTAGACTCCTGGGGGCTTTTTTGGTTTACTTGTTTACTTATTTATTTCTATTTTATGTGCATGAGTGTATTGCCTGCATGTATGTAAGTGCATTGTGTCATGCAGTGCCTGCACAGGACAGAAGAGCATGTCAGATTTCCTGGCACTGGAGTTATATACAGTTAGCCTCCATGTGGGTGCTGGGATTCAAACCTGGGTCTTCTTCAAGAACAGCCAGTGCTTTTAACTGCTGAGCCATCTTTCTGGCCTCGAAAGTCCTGTTTTAATAAGCATAAATATT